ACGCACGCCTTACAAGAGATCAGATAGACTGTACCCGAACTCATGCAGTCACCGTCTCTACCATTGGGGCAAATTATGCAATTTTGCGTTGCACATAGACGGTCGTACAGGCGGTTACGAACTAGATGGCTCTTAAGATTATTCGGCTCTACTTCGATTATCGTTACCGAATTCTCTAGACTGGCCCTTCTTAAACAGCGTTTTATAGCTGCGCTTACTTCATTTGAAATGAAGGGCGTATAAACGGGGCCTTGTTGTCGCTATAGTTATCGTTGGGGTACCTGTGGTTTCCTCTACACATATCTCGAGCTACGGTTTCGTAGCCATTAAAAATGGCTATTTGCCGCGCCAAGTTCCGGGACTCCTCTTTCCGTTGTCTTCCTGTGCACATACTGGTAGCTGTTCGATACATGTTTCTCACAAGCGCCCTTTTCGTGTGAGAGGAATGAGAGGAGAGGTAATGAACTAGGATGTTTTTACTACTTGGCTTTCGATACCACTTCGTAATGTAGCCGTTTTCTGACAGTCTAATTTGCACGTTCAGAAATGGAAGCCAATCTTCTTTTGGTTTCCCTCGGGTGAATTTAATATACTCTGACTGTGTGTTCAACAACTCGAAACATCTGTCGATTTCTTTCTCGATTTCTGAACGTGCAAATTAGCCTAACAGAAAACGGCTACATTACGAAGCGGTATCGAAAGCCAGGTAGTAAAAACATCCTAGTTCATTACCTCTTCTCTCGTCACTCTCATACGAAAAGGGCGCTTGTGAGAAACATGTATCGAACAGCTACCAGCGTGTGCACAGGGAGGCAACGGAGAGAGGAGTCCCGGAACTTGGCGCGGTAAATAGCCATTTTTAATGGCTACGAAACCGTAGCTCGAGATAGGCGTAGAGGAAACCACAGGTACCCCAACGATAACTCTAGCGACAACAAAGCCCGTTTATACTGCCGTTCATTTCAAATGAAGTAAGTGCAGCTATAGAACGCTGTCTAAGAAGGGCCAGTCTAGACAATTCGGTAACGATAATCGAAATACCACCGAGTAATCTAAGGCGCCAGCTAGTTCGTAACCGCCTATACGACCGTCTATGTGCAACACAAAATTGCATAATTTGCCCCAATGGTAGAGACGGTGACTGCATGAGTTCGGATACAGTCTATCTGATCTCTTGTAAGGCGTGCGTGGACGAATACGTTGTCGAAACGGGTAGACCACTCTGCTTACGTATAAAAGAACACCTAGTCGGCAAACATAAGCTAAGTACTCCACCAAGTACGCATAGCACGCAGAAACATAACGTAGAAGATTTTGAAGTGAGGGTTACGATCCTCGCGCAAGAATCGAGAACACAAGCGCGCAAAACTCTAGAGGCATTCTGGATTAATTCCAAGAATCTGAAAATGAACCGCAGGGAGGAATGCCTCGTTATCACGCGTGATATTGGACAGAATATAAACCTGTTATTCTGATGGGAGGGGCATATTACGCTTCCATGTGAATTCTGTGCGGTCGGTCTTCACGCGACATACTCAGTGGAAGACTCATAGAAAGCGGTGAGTGTGCAGAGCTATGCTAAATGTGATTGAAATCTTGATTTAGCGTTTTCTCTGTTTGGTTATGGAGGTGTTTGGCCGAGCGGATCGCTGTCAACTTGACCCTTCCAGGTTTTGAGGAAGGCGAAATCCGCCGAAGCGTCAGCTTGTGCGTAAATAAGGAAATAAAATAGCACCTCGTGTTTGCTGAACAGAAGTAGAAAGATATAATCGATATATTTATTTATATGTTCTAATGAACTGAGCTTGTTCAGCTGAGAGAGGTTGTACAAGTTGTCGTTGTTGCTGTTGGTCGATGGTTAAGGTTCGGCGATTTTGGTATCCTCAGAGCCGTGCTGTTGTATGAAGGGCTGTCCCACTAGCAACAGTACGGCTCTGAGGAAGGCGAAATCACCGAAACGTCAGCCACCGACCAATGAGAACAATAACAGCAACAGCAACAACAACGACAACTTATACCAACCTCGCATCAGCTCAACTAGATGGGTTCATAAGAACATATAAATGCCTCAAAAATAACTTAATACAGAGCACATGACAAGAACTTACTGGACTCTGTTATTGTGTAGGTAGAGAGTATGCAACCGCTTCAGCAGCGGCAGATTATCTAGTCGCTTAATGTCGTTATCTGTCAAATCAATGACATCAAATTGATCCTGCAACATCTCGGTATGATTGAAAAGAAAAGGTTGAACATGAAAAAAAAAACAAGACGCTCAAAGGAAGCTGATACGCGAAGCTTGATAGAAGCTCACCTTTGTGATTCCCATGTTCTCAATAACAGGTATCTTATAACCACGCAAGTTCAGTTCCCGTTCTCGAACAGTGTTGATGAACTGCGGTGCGTTGTCAATCAACTCAACCGTTAGACGAACCATTTTATTTCCTGATTTTAAAACAAAGAACTGTACTTTCAAGGTTAAAGCCGTGAATGAAAGTAAGACAAGTTCAGGAGCATAAAGAAGCCCATTCACTTCAACATTGACATCATGGAAAAATGATTTATTAAACTGCCTTAAATCAAGTTCAGATCTTCACTAACACATGGCCTGAATAAGATCTTGGTTCTGTACTTCTTTTCTTCAGTAGCTGTCAAAACAATAATGTCAGAAAAGAAGTGGATGTAAAACTGAATTGCACTAGAAAAATTACCTTCCAAGCATAAAAACCTACAGCCATATCATTAATAGAGGTACTGATGACTATAAAGACCGTTCTGCAAGCGTTTCGCAGAATTCTTAGAGCAAATATGGAAGATGTTTAAAAGCAAACTATCATGAAAATTATAGCTATGCACATAAGAATGAAAAATCCCCATTGTTTCAGAAAGCCTCCAATCCTAAAATAAGTGATAGAATAAAGTACTTTTAATATTTGTGAAACATAAATAAGACAAAAAGCTTCAAGATGAGTAAACCCCCAGAATTACCCTGTGAATTTTCCTTTCACGAGAATGTAGAAGACAAGCTTCACCATATTCCATCTGTCATGACCTCCATAACGCATCAAATTTAGCGCAAGGGCAACGTGAGAATGGCAGTTATCACAACATAAGTTATGCTGAAATGTTTGAACTATTAAATGACACCTTAGAAAATAGAAAAAGGATAGAAGGATAAAGTTCTCGGCATTGATAAATCCCTGAGGGATGCGCCATGCATTCGACTTCAGTGAGCATCGTTGGAGGTGATTTAAAAATTACTCACGGTAGCCTACCGATGTATCGAGCCAGTGCTGCTATTCTCCGACGATTCTGGTATCAATTTTCCGACCCCAAAGGGGTAGAAGGCTTGGTGGGCATGGAGAGTGGAGATCAATCTCCAGATTCGGGGAAATGGCGCAAGACGGCAGAGTATGCAGAAAAACAATATTCCACATCCTCCTCACCATTCTACCTTTATAGAGATCAGATGCTTCTTGGATAGCTCTATCGTAGGCCTCCACGCCACCTTCAACGGAGTCTATCGGAAGCTTCCAGTACATTGTCGGCCAATCAAACCCCATCTCATCTTCCTGTGAAAGTGAACATAAAGTCTACGAAAACAAAAATTCCAACAAAGACAAAAAACAAAAAGACAAAAACAAATTCCAAAAAAGGAGCGAATTCTTTTGAAGAGTATATTAACTCTAAAACCTGGAGCAGACTTTGGCTAGGCTGACCACAGGACCCCAGGGAAAGTCTGTGGCTAAACGAGCAAAACTCAGAAGAATAGATTATGCTGAGGTCCGCTTAACCAGTAAGGATGTGTCGCCCGACACCCAAGGAGGTAGGTATTAACTTTAAATACAACTAACAACAAACCGCAACGTAGTAGCTACCAGCAAAATCACGAATAATTCCTTTACTGGTCGCGATCCCCATATGACCGATCAGAGGAAAGATCCATCTAAATCGAAAAAAGGTAACAGCTAGAAAAGCATCGAGACTGTAGACAGCTAACGTGAGTACGGGAAGTGGAGTCCAAACAATGCAGAACGGGAATCGATGATGACGGATGTCGATCTCCTCAGAGGCCATACTGGTCCTTCCGTTAGTACCCTAGACACCTTCACTACAGGTCAAGAAAGAGTCCACTTTTGCATGAAAATTAAATACTGGTAGTGGAAAAAATACGGAAAAAACACTCTCAAAGAGCAAAACAGAGAGAAGCAACAAAATGGTCAAAAGACCGAGACAATGTGCGAATGTTCACGTACATCTGGTCATTGGAAAAGTCACAAAAAGAATATTTACAAGGTCCACCTCTTCTTGGATGGACCGAACCATAACAATACCAACTAATCAGGTAAGATATTTTTGAGCGCACTACCTAGAGCCAGATGGCACGACGACGCGACGCGCGAACACCGATGGAGCGCGGAAACACTGGTGAGAGCGCTGAATTACCTGGATAGTGGTTCTAATTTGCTGAACCCGGATCGACCAAGGATCGATTGCTTTGCTCATGGAATGGGATCAAACCAAAGACAGTGTGCGATTTTCAGGTCACCTCTAGCCACTTCAGTAATGGCGTTTATGAATCTGAAAATCTTTACTTTCCTTCTTTTCATCAACCTCGCGTTTGGTTCATAATTGAAGAAGGTATCTGGAAGATATATCAACTATCTTTTTAATTGAATGCACCTTAGGCCAACTGGATACTGTTAATGATAAGACGATGCGATGGAGAATTCCAACCACAATGCACTACCTTAACGAATTTTCCAGTCCAGGTCAGTGTGTTCAACAATTATTGTCGGACGTGAGTTGATTTCCACTCACACGGTGCAAAAGTAACGACCGCTTTCATTTAAAGCAGCACATCTCCAACTGTAGCGAACCTTACTTGTTGAAATAGAAACCATTAGAATCTGCAGTTCTTCACTAATAATACAGGAGATCTATCGCTTCACTGGAAAGGAATTCTGACACTATGGAGCACAGAGGTCATACTCTTTTCAATTTTGTTATCAAGGCTTGTATCTTGAAGAAATACGATTGGAGATCCAAAGGTTGTAGCAGATAAAGGTAAATAACAGCTTTAATAGGATGAGATCGAGTTTACATGCATAGAAATATGTTGTATTTACTTAATTACTTGGTTACTTGAATGGCCTGTCTTCACCGGTTGTGCAGGCCCAACATAATTTCCATTGTTTCGCAGTTTTATTAGTTTTTTCATTGTTGTTCCTTGGAGCCCCGAGGTCAGCCTGGCCAAAGTTTCGCTCAGGTCATCACCACCACAGGCAGTCGCAGAACTTGTGGATCAGAGGTAGGTTTGCCACCATCCGAGTGGTTTGATACCACAGCGGTGGTGGATCGCGGTAATGGTTTACTCCTAACTGAGCTTCCTAATGGAAATCTAATGGAAACGTCGGACTCCTTCCCAGCTTCGGAGATCCTACCGGAGGACGATGTCGTTTTTAAATGAAATAAATTTCATAATAGAATGCCCATCAGTTTAACAAGTTCATGAGCCCGTGATAGAAACTAAGTGGTAGGATAACGAATAACCATAAGTGATAATGATACTAAGTAGCAGCGATAAATAGAAAAGCGACAAGAAATCTCTGTCCAACTGTCCATTAATAGACGACGTAGAGAATGATTTCTGTTGACATTTGATATCTTCTGAACATTGACGACTTCTGTATGTTGTCGTGAACATTTGTTTAGAAGAGCTTAGGTGAAAACTCCTCGTAATTTTTCAAGCATATCGGTCTTTCAGATGGCCGGGCTGTAACTTAATTACAGCTGCAAGGATTGAGAGTGCAACTGCTTCAAGCGATATACTGAGAGAATTTGACGATGATCTTCCCCTAACTCGTTTTGTGCGCTTTGTTACATCATTGTCTGACTAATCATCCACCAGTCGTATTATGTTTTCAGTGACTGTTGATATGGTCACTTTATTTACTGCCTATTTTTTCCATGGTAGGTTATAACGTGAGATATAACCACAATGATGCCGAGATATTTTCGTAGAACTCAGGACCGCAGGTGTCTGTGGTGGAGATAGAACGGCTATTAGCCTTTCCATGAGCTAACCTGTTCACAACTACACCACAAGGGTTCTTCGTTTCTTCGTTTCGCGTTTCTCATGACCGTGTTTTAACCTATAGGTGCTATCAGCAGTCACCCGTTAACGTGATTGATCTGGGGAGCACAAATCGGCATTGAACCCAGTAAAAAATTAACCTGCACAAAATATCCTTCACATCATATCCTGCTATGAAAAAAGATTAGGCAGTAAATAAAAAGTGACTACATTGTGATTCATACTACAGCTTCAGTTTATTTGGCTTCAATGCAGATTTGTACTCCACAGATCAACCCCGTTAACGAGTTATTGCTGAAAGCGCCCTTATGTTAAAACACGGTTGAGTGAAGGACCCGTGTGGTGTGGTGATGAACGCGTTAGCCCTCGGGTAGGGTAATAGCGCGTTCATTCTCCACTGCAGACTTCTGCGGTCGGAGTTTTGCAAATATTTCACCATCATTGTGACCGTTGAAGCTTGCGCGGTTCCAAACAAGTGGAAGTATTGAGCAATCAAAGGGTAAGATGGAAATCGTTACTTATCGCTTTATGGGTAGAAAGTTTCGAAAACAAGAAGAGAAACGCTGCTTTCTCTCATCTATAGTTTAACGTGTTGGCTGAACGTTCTTCGTAGGCTTAATCTATTTCCAACTGTGTGGATCATATGTGAGTGACACGTTGCACAAACAGCGACCGCTTTCAACGTATAAGAGACCATGGTTTATCGCTCTTTAGATGTGGATTGTATGTGTTACTATCTGTTATCCAAGGATCTCTCTCATATGAGAGATCTCGAGCCGCTTAGTCGCGAGGCTACATTGCGCATCTCTACGTGGCGCATAGGGGGTTAATTGCGAACCAAAAGCGACTGTATTTTTCCCTGAGACGCAGGTGGGTCCAGAGAATGAGCAGTATTTTACGAGCCAATTCCACCAAAATCCTGCAATCAAGTGACAGGAATATATATGGGGCGGTTAGGACTCGTCTACAACAAATGAGTTCCATGTCCACTGGCAAGCTATCCCAGAGTATCCCACACCTAGAGTTCAACAAGTTATACATGGGTATCAGAAAAGCTAAACACACTAAAAGGAACGGGCCTCATTCCTCCGACTCCAGAAAGGCCGCCGATTTGACAGTTTTGGGTAGGACATGCACAGAAAGGCCGCTAAAACCCCAGACCAATTCTAGGATGCCTAATCGCGAAGGAATAAGGTGTCGACCCGTACCTATAATGCATATGTCCTGAGTCCTCGCTAGAAGAATAGAAGACAATAATACAAGCAAGAAGGAAGACCTACGACGTCACCAAGCTGGCAGAGACGAGACGACGCCACCCATTCAACGCCGTCTATAAAACCGGAGAACTGTTCCTCGTAACATGCGACAGTAGAGGAGTCGACCGCGTCGGCGTTCTTGTCAACACGAGTTTGTTGACAATGTAGAGTACCATAACGGAATAAACCGCATCATAGTAAATAGAAGGTTTTGCCTAACCTATGTCGCTGTTGTCCCAAAATCCTACACGGGGTCAGACTGCTGCTTCCTTCGCGCAAGATTTCATTTCTCGCGGAAAGAAAAAAATCTGTAAATTTAAAAAACGAAGTCCGAAAACCACAATAATTTGGGATTTATTCTATTCACCAATCCGCTGTTGGGAAGGTGACGTTCTGGACAACATCGACGAGGAATACGATCGGCTCATTCAACATCTTCACGTTAGCGCTGTGAAATCTGAGAGTTCGAAAGTCACCAAGTGACATCTGTGTCCAAAAACACTCGAGCTGGTACGCCAGCGTGGAATCGCAAGAGCTGCAGGCAACCGCGAGCTATCGTCCGAACTTTCAAAACAGTGCAGACAGGCGATAAAAGAATACCCTAAGGAGAGAAGAACAGCAGTAATGGTCGAAACTGCAGAGGCTGGGAAAAGCATTCGCAGAGCCTACCGAAGCTTCGCCAATTACAACACCAAAATGATTGCACTCCGGCGCCCAGAAAGGTAATGGAGAAAATCATTCACGAATACCTGCACTGGACTCTGATCTCTTCGATATCCACGTCCACCTTCCGTCATATCAAATAAAGGAGGATGGATATGTTGTACCACCGGTTCTCCCTTCCGAAATCCGACATGCCATTTCGTCGGTGAAAAATCGAACCGCACCAGGACCGGACAAGATAAGACCAGAACACCTGAAGAACCTTGTGCCAGGCTTCGTAAACACACTGGCTCGACTCTTTATGCGTTACCTGTCTGAGTGCAAAGTCACTACTCAGTGGAAGACCAGAAAGACCGTGCTGTTGTTCAAGAATGGTTACCCCTGTGATATCGGCAACCATCGCCGAATCTTCTTGCTGTCCTTCGTCTACAAACTTTTCACTCGAGTCATCCCAAACAGGATTCACAGAACAATAGACGAAGTACACCCATGTGAGCAAACAGGGTTTCAATGAGGATTTAGTACGATGGACCACATCCACACGGTAACACGGCTCATTGAAGTATCGCGAGAGTACAAAAGACCGCTCTGTCCCACTTTCATCGATTTGAAGAACTCACTTGACTCAACCACAAGTTTGCTGAGATATTTGCAAAACTCCAGACTGCAGGTGTCTGCGGTGGGGAACGAACGTGCTATTGTCCTTTCTGGGGAGTAGCGCGATCACCATGACACCATGCGGGTCCTTCGTTTCGCCTGTATCTCAACTAGTTCTATCGAGCTGCGCCGTCAGCAATCACACCTCAACGTCATTAATCTGAGGTGCCCACATCGGCATTGAACCCAGTTAAGCTCAGGCTATAGTTGAATTCACAACGCTTAGTTTTTATTTTTTGCCTTCTATTATTATTATGGCAGGGTGTTAAGCAAAATATAACCACAAGATTGCCGGTCCTGATATCGATAGTGCTGATGGCACAGATCAATAAAACTAGCTGAGAGACAGGTGAAGCGAAGGACCCTCATGGTGTGGTGGTGAACGCGTTACTCTCCGGAAAGGACAGTGGCGTGTTCCTTCCCCACTGCAGACACCTGCTTTCCGGAGTTTTGCAAACATCTCACCAATCTTGTGGTCGTATTTCGCCGAATACCCTATTATGAAAATAATAGGAGGTAGAAAATGAAAAGCAAGCATCATTTCACTCACTTCGGATAGAAGTAGTCATGGACAATCAAGGAGGTCCTACTCAACGTATTAAGATTCTTCGTGAGCTGTATAAAATTTCACAACCGAGATATCATCATTCTACAACGATGTTAACATCGACGTTAAAAGAGGGGCTAGGCAAGGTGATACCATCTCGCCAAAATTATTCGCCGCCACCCTCCAGTGCATCATGCGAACATTGAAATGGGATAAGATGGGAGTGAAAATCGACCGTCGGCAGTTACACCATCTTCGCTTTGCTGATGACATCGTCCTTATAATACCGAACATTACTCAAGCAGAACGAATGCCGGGCGACTTTGGTAAAGCCTGTGGAGAGATTGATCTTCGACTAAATCTTACAAAAACGATGTTCATGAAGGACGGATTGGTTTCGTATGCCTATTCACGCTCAACACAACGAATTTCTCCGAATGCTCCAGTTACGTCTATCAAAGTCGGGAAATCACCGTGTTGAACGACTTAGCTCCAGAGTTAAGCAGAAGGAAACGAGCGGCTTGGGGGCTTTCAAGAGCATCGAGGATGTAGTTAAGGGAGCAAAGAACACCCGACTCCGTACCCACCTTTTTCCACTCAGCGGTACTTCCTGCCTTACTTATGCATCAGAAACCTGGTCGCTGTGTAAGTAGGATGAAAGATCATTCAGCGTTACTGAACGAGTAGTCGAAAGAACGATGCTAGAAGTATCCCGTGTCACACAAGTAAGGGATGGGATTCGAAGCTCTAACCTCCGTCAACTGTCAAGAATTGAAGATACCATTCTGCAGGCTAAATAGTCGAGAATAAGAAGTGAATATGTGATGCATATGAACGACAACCGATGGAAAAGAGTCGTTAGTAACTGGATTCCCTGGGATGTTTAACGTACCGCAGTGAGATCACCGAACCGATTGTTAGAGTTCTTCACGAAAAGCTTTGCAGGAAGGTGTGATGCTCAACGAGTCTCTAGAACGTGCAAGGGTGGGTACTTCTGCCCTACTGGGGTACTTTTGCACACGACAGGGAAAAATGGAAGATTTACTGTCGCCTGCTGGAGTCATTCGACGATCAACGGTGCCACAAGTTATGCTGGTGATACTACTATGTGGTGCTATGATAGTTAATTCAAACACATTGATGTCACTGCCTAAAAGTATTTTGCAACTGGGTCCATTCTGGTATTTGTATATCCGCATATTCTTTGGAGTAATCATGATTCGCCGTAGCGATTAACTCTCGCGACTACACCTTATCTTGGATTTGTTAGGGGCTGAAAGACGCCTAATTTCCGCCCTTATGGATTTACTGGCTTTTTTGAGAGTAAGGAATGATTTTTCGATAACTAGAGGACTTCTTGAGTTCTAAACGTGAACGGATTGTAGAAAAGTCGATTCTATCGTTGTTTAGGTATTAACCATATTTAGCGTTCTATTTGCTATAAGTTACTAAAGTCCATCGTCACTTTACTGTCAACATTTGTTTTGCAACTTTCGGGTCTTTATTTCAGTGTTTTTGTACTCGCACACTCTATAAGATAATTATCATTCACTGCTACAAAAACTCTATCCCTCCGGCGTCGAAAAATATTCACCAGAGTTGTTTGCGCCAACAGCACTCGACATGTGGTTACTACACCGCAAATCATTTTATAAGTCATCTGCATTCAATCATCTCTGTGTATCTTTGACGAAGTCAATTGTCTGGCGCATTGCTCAGGGATTGATGTCTGCTGAACACTTAACCGTTTATCCTTTTTTATCGAAAACCAGTATGTTTACGAATTTGTTGACATCTAGTCCGCTTTCTTTCACAACTATAATTAATTGCTGTTCCATTTACTAAAGAATTGTCACTTCAAGTACGGATTTTCCGGCAATATGTCTGTTACGAGTTAATTTTCGAAATAAAAAAATGTGACATGAGAAGAGAATAAGTAACATTTTCACTCACTACACTTTTATTGTTCATTGTTTTCCTACTAAAATTAAATGGAATACTCGTGGCGCCAAGCGTTTCCAATGCTTGGAGGATGTCATGGAGTGCCTTATTCGAGAAGAATTGCCCTCAACGCAGCCCGTCCGTTAGTGTCTATGATTTCGCATCCGTAAAAAAAACATTGAGATAGCGTAAATTTATCATAGCACTCAATCAAGAGAAGCCAGGAAAACACTACAATCAGTTGAGAAGTATGTAATCATGATATCATTGTTCTATTCTCAAGCAAGAATGCGACCGTGTGAAAACCTCACGAGCAGTGTATTTTGAACTCTGTTTTCCTCTATAGTTTTAATTATAGCCTTTGTTGCAATTGTTTCGAGTTTAATAACAGGATGTGAGTTTTGCAGAAGTAATTGTATGTTTTTTTTTCTTATTTAGTAGCACGGGCACACGTAGGCTAAAAATGGCAGGGAGGAGTTTAAAGCGGATGATCTGTGTATAATATAATTAGGGATAGGCTTAAGACCATAATGCTTAAGACTATACGCCTATTGGTATTTGTAGGTTTGCAGTTCTCTTTAGAGATATGATGAAACACTACTTACTTGATACTTGAAGGGTCCGTCCTCACTAGTTGTGCGGGCCCCAGCATAATCAGCACTTTTCGGAGACTTGCTGGTCAAGCCGTTGTGGTTCCCTGGAATCCCGAGAACAGCCTGGCCAAAGATTGCCCCAGGTCGTCACCGCCACAGGTATTTGCAACAGTTGTGGATCAAAGGTAGATTCGTCACCATGCGAGTGGTTTGATACCACAGCGGTGGTAGATTCTTATATTGATTTGCCATACTCTACCGATTTATCCAATCGACTTTTTTTTGCTTTCCAAACAAATCCTGTACTATTTTGTCAACTCCGGGTAAATGGAAGGCTAGGTGAGCACGGGGTAGGATCGAGAGAAGAACTATCCTTGTATTGCACGACATCTCTAATTACTACGTCACACACTTTCCGACAGTTTCGCGGCAAAATGGAAATCAAAGAAACGGATCAATCCGGCAAACTTAATAGAATCGCGGTCATTTTACACAAAGAAGGAGCTGTCCGGTTCGAATTTTAGAGTGCTTTTTGCTGGAAAGTTCTCATCACACCTTAATATTCTTCTTCTTTCAACTAATCACGACTGTTCAACACTGTGTTTAAAATGCTAAAGAATCTTAGAGCTGATCAAAAATGGAGGTCGTGAATGAATTTATACACGAGGTTTACCACAGCACAGTCCTGTTTGAAGTACAAAAGCACATAGAAGAAAGAGATCTCTTTTTAAAAAACACAGGCTTTGTAAACGTGAAAATTTTTCATGTTGCATAAAATCTCAGTTTCATTTTTTTTTAAAAAGCGATATTGTTCATTTGTTCACAAGAACTATTTAGAAGCCAGTGATGAAAGAAGAGAAATAGCATTTGTTTGTTGTGTATAGCCACATTTCCAAACCTATACTAGGATCCACCACCGTCCTGGAATCAAACTATTCGCATGGTGGCAAATCTCCTTCTGATCCACAAGGGATACGACTGCTTGTGGTGGTCATGACCCGAGGTAGACTTTGACCAAACTGACCTCGGGACTCCAGGGAAATACAACGGCTTAACCAGCAAAACTGCAAAAAGTGGAGAATATGCTGGTGTCCGCACAACCAGTGAGGACTGGCCGTCCAAGTAGCCAAGTAAGTATGGCCATATTTGAGACAGAGCCAGAGAACTTCGGCAACTGATCATCCAGAAATCTCCTTGTGAGTTCAGTTACGTCACGCATATAGAGATATTTGTAAATTTCCGTCATCAGTGTACTTGAAATAGAACTGGAAAGCTTTGCTAGTATTCGTTAGAGTAATAATGGGATATTATTAGCACTATCGACACGATAACTCATACGAGATAGAAGTAATTTCACCTTTCAACTGGATCCAACTTATGGAAGACCCTATTACCTGAAGAAATAGCCACAGGACAATGCAAGGTAGCAGCATTTCATTAAAGAGGGCAGGGACACTGTATAAGTTGTATATTGGATAGTAAAGTTGTTGTATAGTTGTAAGTTGTATAAGTTGTATATTATGTATAAATTCCGAGGCCCTCAAGTTTTGAGGTCCTTAAGGACCCTGGTTATAAAAAATTGTCGCCAATTTTCTGGAAACATTAATCGTTATGAAAGTGCTAATTTATACTTGTGTGTGTAGACATTTATCTAACATAATAGTGTTGTAATGTAGTACTAGCATTATTACGATTTATTCCTTGATATAACGCGACGATTTCGTTTTTTGTGAGACGTCATCACTTAGATTTTATGGAGTTTTAACTATAAATAGCTAATGACTAGAAAATGCAGCCAAGATGTTTATCGACTTTTCGGCGACGAACATCTAAGGTGGCATTTCGAACTGCTTTACGCGGTTCCCTTGTGGTTATCATCATCAGAGACGAGACTTCAGTACAAGACGCCATTGATGGAAAAACATTCGGATATCACCTTGCAAGGAAACCCCACCAAGCACACACCCGTCTCTCTGTCGAACCTAATGAATCTCATCAAGGATGCTCAGTCGTCGTCTATCAGAGGCCTCTTTATGCAGTACTCTTTATGGGACGTAATTAATGTTGTCGGACCATTCACTAGTGTATTAATTGCTGTACCGGTGAAATTATATGTTTTTTTTTACAAATCTCTAAATGCTGCATCTTTTTTTTCATTGAACAAAAAGCCTTAATGATACGAAATACCTGTTAACCTTTGCGGTACGATGTGACCTCCATGTGAGTCATACAATGTGAAGATAATAAAGATCAACTTCAAATCAAGATATTTCGGCTTATAGTATATTTTGTTAAATTTGAAGAAAATATGCAAAGTGTTAGAATCTGTAAATCATTGCCTAAAAATAAATGTCCTCCCGTTTTACGACGATCAAATTCTGTAACTTTTTTGAACCCGCGACATATTTTTCTTTCTTATCTTTTTTTTTCTATCTTGTTTCTCTTCAGTCAACAAAGGAGAGTTCATCTATAAGATCAAATTTCTAAACGAATTCGGTTAAGTCACCAAAACTTTTATCACAATGTCAAAAATACTTCCTTAATTGTAATTTTAAAACCGAGAAAGCTCCACTGAAAAAGGACTTATGTACTGTGGTCCAATTCCTAGATCTACAGGGTGAAAACCACCGATCTCGCTCATATGAGGGATATCGATCTGGTTAGCCCAAGGCAACGTAAAGTGTCTCCAGTTGGCAGATAGAGGTTTAACAGAAAAGCAAAAGCGTTGATTGCATACTTACTGCAGGACACAGCCGAATTAGGAGGTTGGGTTAAGTGCCTGTACTGCGTTCAGAATGACTGCTACCTTCTGGATGACCGTATTGCATATTGGAACAGGAGTTATGTCTTTAGGTGTAGATTGTGTTCAGTAGGGTTCAGCAAGAAGGTTTCTATCAAATCCTTAAGAATTTTGTCAGATTCATGAGTACTTGAATGTATGTGATCG